AGGATATATATGGAGTAGTATTTTTTTGGCCTCATTGTTGTGTTCCCCTGTTGACTCTAAAATTGTGACTCTTTTCAAAGCAAGTTGATTTGTGTTTCGTTTACACAGGACTGAGAAGTCTCTCCTGTGTAAATCGTGTAATACTAACTTTTTGAATCGGATTAGAAATTTAGAATGAACCTTGTGTGTAGACAAATGTGAGTGGCAATTTAGTTCAACAGAATGCATTCGTTTATCTCCCCTGAGCTCTTTCTTATGTTAAGTCATTGTTTTTTTGTTGTAATATGGCTAGTGCTACAACAAATTTAAGATTTATAACTATGAATAATCCTTTTTGGGAAATTGTTAAGTACTACGCATATTTTATTTATAAAACAAAACGCGATTCTGCCTAACTTAAACAAAGCTCTGTAAAGATATGTCCAGATAGTTAATACAGAGTCTTTAGATTGCTGACAACCACTTAGACCTGAGGTTATCATTGAATTTTAAGTCATTACTCATTAGTATCTCTATAAAGAAAAATAAAGTTTACTAATAGTACTTAGTTACTTACCAAAGACCAACCATGGTATATGAAATAAACAAGAACAAATAAGTGATAATCTTGCGCGCTATTCATCTTCAAACAGGTTCTCATTATGAAGCATGGCCATAAGCATTAACAATATTATATTATCCTTACTTTTTTATCCTAAAATATAGTAGAAATATTTTAACACATACTCATGAAATTCTCTTTTACATTTGATTTTTTATCAATATTTCATTTATATTAATTTTTTGTTTTTGTTATAATAGATATTTCAAAGCGTTTTACCAATACTACATCAAATATTAACACAAAGTATATGATTTTTTTTAACTTAATCAAATTTAAAAAATGATACCTTCTATTTGAATGGATGAGATAATGAACTATCATAGAAAAATATGTTTATATACATATATACAATCATTTGAATATACAAAGTTTCACAAATGTGATTATACACATACTTCTCCAATAGTTCTAGACTCAAATGTCACATCATAATAATTATAATATTTTTCATAGTAATTTATAGTCACAGTTTTGCTCATATAGCAATTTAGACAGATGAGATAATAAATTATTATTATTACTATTGATACTACGAGTAAAATACATATAACCACATGGAGTCCTGATTTCCTCTAAAAGATACTACGAGTAAGAAATGACGGAGCTAGGTAACCAGAATCAAAGCTCTTCTCCTCTATCTGTGGAAGAGGAGGACCATCTAATTCGTTCTACGAAGAAGATCAAACACACAGGTGCAGCTGGGATAGGAAAGAGATCTTTTGCAGAGACGTTAGCAGCTCATTTAGGCGATGGAGAGAAACCTAATACAGATTGGTGTACGGAGGTTGAAGAAGATGTTTCAGATGATGAAGATTTTCACCCAGATGAAGAGGATATTCCAAGAATCATCATCACTAAAGACAGAAAACGCGAACTTCGCCAGCCTTGGAGGAAAGCACTAATCATTAAAACCATGGGTAAAATCTCATTCCCAATTCTTCAATTTCGGCTTCTAAGATTATGGAATCCACATGGTCGGGTTGAGTTTATTGACTTGGGACTCGGCTGCTATACTATTAAAGTTGATTTACAAAGGGATTTTTTTCATATTCTTATGGAGGGTCCTTGGAAGATTTTTGATCAGTATATCATTGTTCAAAGATGGACTCCAAATTTTCGACCATCCTTAGACAAGCCTGCTAAAATGGCAGTTTGGGTTAGATTACCGGGTCTTCCAACTGAATATTTTGCTGAAGATATCATTAAAGCAATACTTCAGAAAGTTGGAACTCCTTTGAAACTGGATAAAACTACAATGTGTGTGGCTAGGGGAAAGTTTGCTAGAGCGGCTGTAGAGATCGAGTTAGTTAAACCTCTTGTGCCTTATGTGTGGGTTGGCAGAAAGAAACAGTGTATTGAGTATGAAGGCTTGCATACCATATGTTTTGACTGTGGCGAATATGGTCACCGTAAGGAGGTCTGCCCACACCGGCCACAAATCACCCCGACAGTTGCCCAAGAGACAGAGATGGAAGAAGCACCGGCCGGTATGGTAAGCAACGCTACACAAGAAAAGAAGGTTGACAAATTTGGACCACACATGTTGGTTAAGCGTTATCCTGGGAAAATAGAGAGCGGAGGAAAGGGACAGAAAACATATAGCAAGGCTATGCAGAATGGAAAGTTTTCCAAAAAAGAAAGTAATAATAGATTCACGGTTTTATCTATCAATGAGACGGATGAAGAGGAAATGTCTGTTGCTCGGAGTAAAGAAATTTTGAGGGAAAAAGTTCCCACTCAAAATACTTCAGATATGCAGAAAAATATAAAAGAGGGAAAGACTAAGCTCATCATACCTGCACCACTTACGGGTCCAACAGAAGGGTTAGTTCACAGAAAGCAAAAAAGGGAAAACGCCAAGGGAGTTGTCCTTACTAGTACAACAAAAAAGAAAATTTCTTGTAATCAACAACACATTAACAATCAGTGTGCTGCAAATGTGCAGCAAGAGGATCCGACTTACCGTCTCAATAAAGATAGCATTTTCCAGTTTCGCTCGACTAGCAGACAAGTCGAGGAACCAAAACTAGTACCTATGGAGGTAAACATCATCAAAGAAACTCTGGTTCTCAACATAGATAACACACCCGACAGCATACCTGATAGAGATCAAGAAGAGGTGGTACAGCAGGATAGGGAGCCCGTCCCAAATATGGATATAGCTAATCTGGGAGTTTCCACTTCCACACTATGTATCCAGTCTAAATGAAATTCTTATCTTGGAATTGTCGGGGAATTGGGAATAAGAGAGCGATGTGTCATGTTAAGGAATTGATAAATACACACCGGCCTGAAATTTTAGGCCTTCTTGAAACAAAATGTGAGAATCCTAATGGGATGGTTAATATGGCAAGAAATCTGGGTATGACTAATTGGAGCTATATTCAGCCTATGGGCTTCGCCGGGGGTATTCTCTTACTATGGGACCCTAACAAAATTAATCTCTCTGTGATAGAGAGTTCATCTCAAGCACTTCACTGTAATGTCAAAATCAATGATTGTTGTGTCATCTTTTCGGTGGTTTATATTAGACCAAATGTGGCAGCAAAGGATAGGTGTTGGACTGAAATGCAGGATTTTCGCAAGAGATATACGGGTCCTTGGATTGTCTTGGGAGATTTCAATGATACTCTTTGGGCAACAGAACAGTGCGGTGGCAGTGTCCTGTGGAATGCTATGGATAGATTTCAGGATCAACTCAGGAGTTGTGAGCTCTTTGATGTTAGTACTGAGGGATCACTTTTTACCTGGATCAAACGAGAAGGAACACGGGTAGTTCTCCGGAAGAAGCTGGATAGAGGGCTTTGGAATATGGAAGCGAATACTATTTTCCCAGAAGGAAAAGTCTTCAACCTACCTAGAGTGCACTCTGATCATCACCCTATCATATTCTCCAGTAATATGGAGCTTTATTCGAGAAGGAATCGACCAGTTCGCTTCGAGGCAGCTTGGTTAATGAATAGAGCCTTAGACCAAATTTTCAAGACAACATGGATTTCCAATTCTGGTTCAATTGAAAATGCCATACATCAAGTTATGAAAGTCAGTAAGAATTGGAGCAAGGATGTTTTTGGAGATGTGTTCCGCCAAAAACGGCATTTGAGAGCTAGGATTCAAGGGATTCAAAACTCTCGAAACTATTCTAATTCACATTCAGAACAACTCCTAGAATGTTCTTTGGAAGAGGAATACAATACTATTTTGGATAAAGAAGAGATGATTTGGTTCCAGAAAGCTCGGGTGGATTGGATTCGGGGAGGTGATCGTAATACTAGTTATTTTCATAGGTCAGCCATGATACGCAGGAACAGGAATTCTGTTGGGCGCCTTAAAATCAATGACACCTGGACAACTAACCAAGTGCAGATGGCTAATCATATCAAAGAGTACTTCACCAATTTATTTGGAAATTCCAGGAGTTATGAGATTCATCAAATGAATGGTTTGGAGTGTCCAAAAATATCAGGGGAGCATAAAATTAATTTGATGAAAGCGGCTGATATAGAAGAAGTAAAGACCACAGTCTTTAGTTTGAAAAGTTTCAGCAGTCCAGGTCCGGATGGTTTGCAAGCAATTGTGTACAAGAAATATTGGGACATAGTTGGACATACCATTACACATTTTGTTAATGGTGCTCTTCGCACGGGTTACATCCCACCCCAGATCCTTAAAGCTAATATGGTTCTTATCCCAAAAGTTGATGCTCCAGAGGTGGCTAGTCAGTTTAGACCCATCACTTTACTCAACGTCATATATAAGGTGATCTCTAAACTCCTAGTTAATCGTATGAGGCAGTGGATTGGAAACATTATTGGCCCATTTCAGAATAGTTTTGTTCCGGGCAGGAGTACGATAGATAATATTCTTATCACCCAAGAGATAGTGCACTCTCTTGAATCCAAAAAGGGTCGGAAAGGCGATATGATTATGAAATTGGATCTACAGAAAGCATATGATTGTTTGAGTTGGGATTTCGTAGATAAGACCTTGATAGACTTCGGCTTCCCCATGGAATTTAACAGACTTGTTATGAATTCAATAAGAGAAATGAAGATTGGGATCATCTGGAATGGGAATGTCCTGGAGGAAATTCAGCCACGTAGAGGTCTTAGGCAAGGAGACCCCCTCTCTTCTTACCTTTTCATTTTAGCTATGGAGCGACTCTCTCATTTCATTAGCAAGGAGGTCAATGCTAAGAGATGGAAGCCAGTAAAGGTGGGTAGGCCGGGAGTAAGCATTTCCCATCTCTTTTTTGCAGACGATTTGATGCTTTTTGGTGTTGCCTCTACCAATCAAATTGAAACCATGATGCAAACTCTACAGATGTTCTCAATGGGTTCGGGTCTGGAAATCAATAAGGATAAATCAAGAGTTTATTTCTCTCCTAATCTTGATGGGGGTTTAAAAAGTACTCTTAATCATATGTCTGGTATTCAGTCTACTACGGATCTCGGGAAGTATTTAGGCGCTCCTATAATCCATGGGCGGAAGTCTAAGGATAAATTTGCCTTTATTCTTGATCGGGTGAAACAGAGGTTGGCAGCATGGAAAGAGAAATTATTAAATCTGGCCGGCAGGAAAACGTTGATCCAATCATTGACTACGGCTATCCCACAATATGTTATGCAAACCTCTTTGCTCCCGTTAAGCATATGTGATAGGCTTGATCAACTCAACAGAGATTTCCTATGGGGTCATAATGAAGGAACCCGTAAAATTCATCTTGTCAATTGGGAGGATGTTTGTAAACCAAAGGATTCGGGTGGTTTGGGTCTCCGGAAAGCTCGGGATAATAATTTGGCTCTAATAGCTAAACTGGGTTGGGAAATCGTGATGGGAACTCAAAAGCTTTGGGTTCAGATTATGAAGGCAAAATATGTTAAAAACTTGTCTTTCTGGGAAATAGAAAGGAAAGCAGATTCCTCTCACATTTGGCGGGATATTTTACGTAGCAAGGACATCATTCGTAATGGGCTCGGATGGCAGGTGGGAGACGGGAAAGAGATCTCCTTTTGGTTCGATATTTGGGTGAAAGATAAACCCCTCCATGAAGAACTTGATTCCCCGTTAGCGGCTTCTGCACGACAGGTCAAAGTGGCTGATTTTTTACTGAGCAACCGAGATTGGGATATCTCAAAACTGGAGACATTACTCCCTGAGGAAGTCGTAGAGGAGGTGAGAGCAGTCCCTATCCCGACGGGAAGTGATTACCCAGATGAAATGTATTGGAGATCTTCATCAACAGGTGAATTTTCTGTAAAATCTGCTTATGATTCGTTAGCTTTGTCACAGGTGAATGAAGATTGGAGCTGGTTATGGAAGATACGCACGTCCGAGAAAGTACGATGTTTTCTTTGGCTTGTGATGAAAAATAAACTGCTCACCAATGCAGAAAGAGGTAAACGACACATCACTGAAGATACTTCTTGTAATCTTTGTAACAACGAGGAGGAAACAGTGCTCCATATCCTCCGAGACTGCCCTTTTGCCATGGCAGTTTGGAGGAAAAGCGGGTTGGGCTTGCCGAGAATCGGAGATATGAGTCCAACCAGTCTCGAGTGGGTCCATAGCCACTGTAAAGCTGCAGGAGACACTTCGGGTAGAACACCTCATGCTTCCAGGTTTGCATATACAGCTTGGTTGGTTTGGAAGTCAAGAAATTCTTGGATCTTTGAGGGAAAGAAGCCTGATGTGGATCGGATAGTTAGGAAGGCACACCTTTTAGCTGAGGAATACACTAATATAACCATTCTCAATAGTATCAAGCAACAGAAGGAGGCTAAAATTGTTAAGTGGATTCCCCCAGAATCGGGATTCTTCAAGCTAAATTGTGATGGGTCTAGCCGAGGAAGGAGAAAGGGAGCCGGGGCAGGTGGACTAATACGCAACCACAAAGGTGAATGGGTGAGTGGCTTTATACTAAATATTGGAAAGACGGAATGTTTTAAATCAGAGCTTTGGGCTCTAAGACAGGGTTTATTGTTAGCTTGTGATCTCGATATAAATAAAGTTATTGTGGAAGTTGATTCTGAAAGTATGCTAAAAGTTGTTAAGAAGAAAAATAGTCTCACCAACAGAATAGGGGTGTTGGTTCGGGATTGTCAAAAGCTTCTTGCAGATGAAAGATTTATCAAATTTCAACACACTTTTCGCGAAGGAAATAATTGTGCAGATTCACTAGCTAATGCCGCTCACGAGTCAGCAAAGGGTCTCTTAATACTCCACGAACCACCTGTCTGGATCAAGAGTTTACTTCAGGAGGATGCTAATGGTTTTGAGCGTATTAGATATTAATGTATTTCTGTTTTTTCACTTCCGATGTAACCAAAAAAAGTTACTAGAGTCACACTTTTGTCTATTACTTTTATTTTGATCATATATTTGGAATTATTTTTGTATAAAATTGACTAAATTTAAAATAATTATCATTACACTCTATTAATATTTAAAGGAGTATTATTAGAGTCTAGAACTACTTTGAATAACGAAAATAAGTATAAATAAAATTTTGATAAGGAATAAAAATGGAAGATTTGATGAATAAAATTTTAGTGAATATTAATGCTTATATATAGATAGTATAAATTTTCATGTCATTACATTTAAAATTCTAAAAGTTAGCCTGGATTTAATTTTTACACATTTTTGTAAAATGCGTAAAAGTAGGAAAGATTGGTGTCATGAGTTAAAAAATAATTTGGGGAATGACATAGAGTATAAATAATATAATACTCCGTAACATTTAACCCCAAAATTATTAGAAAAAATAGTGTCATTCTTTTAAGGGAAAATTACTATTAACCCCCTAAGATTATGTCATAATTATTACTGCAATCTTGCTTTTTCAAAAATCAATTAGTTACCCCATCAGTTTTGATCATTCTCACTATATGTCCCTCTCATGTTAATATTTGTTAAATTTTATTTAATATAAATCTTAAATTCAATAAAATTGTCTATAGAATAAAATTTTAAAGTAAAACATAATTAAGTATCATAATTATAAGTCATTGTTCTTGATCGTTATTTTTGTACTTAACTACTCACGAGCTAGTAATATTCATGGGATACATATGAAAATTGTTTGAAATATGTGTTATCAAAATTCTAGACACTTCTTTAGCATAAATATAAAAGTCTCATTTATAATTCATGAGGTTGAATTAATCTTAATGACATTTCTTTCGTGCGTAACAAAAAAGAATTACCAAGAAAAAAATGAATTTTATCGGTCCATGACCTAAAAGATTGGTCTAGTATTAATAATGGATCTAAAAGATAGAATGTCGACATAGGGTCTGAATAATTCAAAGCTATCTATCTAAGACCTAAAATATACATATCATAGATTCTGATTTTTTTTAATTCTATTACTAATTTTTGATGACTTTTTCATCACAAAAAGTTTATTAGTTTAATAAGATTAAATGATATTTACTTATTTGAATTAAAAAATATAAAAACCAGCCATCTCATGAGCCATATCATAAATATTTAATATCTTACTCATGTGTCATCTCTCTTAACTACATTCATTAATATTTATTCCATGATCGAGTAGCTTAGTAAAAAAAATAATGGCCAACAACAATGACTTATAATTACGACAATAAATTGTTTTTTAATTTAACATTTAATTTTACAAACAGCCTTAAGTGAATTTAAGAGTTATACTAAATTCAATTTATCAAATATTAATGTGAGGGGGCAAACAGTGAGAATGATAAAAACTTAGGGGTAACTAATTAATTTTTGAAAATGCAAGATTGCATTAATAATTAAGGCATAACCTTAGAGGGACTAACAATGATTATCCCTTCTACTAATAAAGAGTAACTAAAATCCCAAGTAGTTTGACAGACTCAGGGATAGGATGTATATTTTTTTTAGAGTAACTAAAATATCTAAAATGTGATGAGAGTACTTTTTGTGTGCCAGACCACAAAAAGTTAAGCTACCTAATAACACTAATATCTTCTCACTTCCCTTTTTTTTTTTATTTATCATAACATTCCTATCTTCTCATTTCCAAATTTTCCCATCATACCCTCAATAGTTTTAAAAATAATACACCATTACAACTATTTTTTTTGGATTTATCCTTCATTCTATCACACTATTTCATTATTTTCCCATCATATACTTAAGAATTTGTATCTCCTTTCACTATTCTTAATCTCACCTACTTTTCAAATGAGAAGATATATCAGTTATGGAGATAGTAACAGATAATGTTAACAAAATAATTGTAAAATGTTAAACCGTGTCAAAAGAAGAGCGTACTCCACAACATTGTTTTAAAAAGTCAACGAAAAAAATAAGATATTCTTATACCCAATGAAAATCAAACTAAGAACTTCTTTAAGAGACATTGGGTGTATAATAGACCAATTTTTGTACTGCGTATAAAATAGAAAAGTAAAGAACTACTGATGCGGCAATAGGCTATACAGCATTACAGGGATGATCAATAATATAAGAGTAAAGCTTACATCATAGCACAAAAGAATTAAGAGTTCAAGGACTTCAAGCAACAGTGACAAGGTTCTCAGTCTCCAACTAAACTTACACTGCTCTACTTTTAAAACACCATATGCAACTAATAATTAAGAGCCGAAGTCACATGAAACTCAAAAATCAGGCAGTCACGGGCTCAAACCGTCCGGAGCAAGGAGATTTTGTATTCAGTTTTATGGAAACTCATTAGATCCTTGTCATGCCAATGCTTGGCGATCTATTGTGGGGCCCAGCCGGGGCACTCCTTGCCACAGAATAGGCAGCATAGTAGCAGTGAGAGATGAAGCCTGTGATTACAATGAAAGCTGCTCCGGCGGCAAAGACTCCCTTTCTCAATGTTTGACAGAAGAGTGGCTTATCGTCCATTAAGAACGACGACGTGTACTTGGTGTGATAAGCGTTCCTCACAGAACCAGCAAGCAAGCATACCTCAGCTACCGCAAATGTCACCCTGTATCAAGTTCTTAAGATATATCAACATACGTACCGTTTTTACAGTCAACAAGAATGTAAACAAAAAGGAAACAAGCTTGACTTTTGATATGCAATGACCATAATTGTATTTTCACAATGACTATGGTAACCATAGGCCCTTAGTGCTATTCAACTTTACAGTGCAATAACCAAGATTAAATTTCTGCTAACTGTAGTGACCATAGTGGTATTTTAGATGCCTGTGGTGAGACAACAAGAATAATATTGGGCAAGGGTAGAGGAAAAGAAAAGGTGCAGACCATCCGAAAATGAATAGCAGAATTGCACAAGCTCGAGAACCTCCCTGCTTCAAAGCCTTTCCACAGCAAAAGCAGCTGCTTACAAACATTACGAGAATTTGACCGGCCAGTAGGAATAACATCGCACCCACACCATATCCAGTGGCAATGTCGGAATCATAAATGCAGTACTTACGGGTCTCTTCAATATCATAACCAATTTGGGCCTAAAAAGGATAAAGATTCATTTTTCATTGAGATGAAGCAAAACTGCATACCAAAAAATAAGCTGAATCACAATTTCAAAATCCCATCTTTTATAACTTTTTGACTCATTGTACTCCATTTGGTTAGTAAACCGCCTATGTTGACTTGCAATGTAGAAATGAAATCAATGCACAAAAACTTTCCCAGACCTTCATATGGTATGAGAGCATTTTACAGTCAAAATGAAAATCTCAATCTTACTAAGACTCAGAACAAGCCATCATATTATGGTTGGGGAGACATGTTAAGGGCTTCAGGAATCTTAATAACAGTCAGCTCTCCATTTCTGTTAGTATTATATTAAAAACAGGACATGTAATACAATTCTTTCCCAGCTAGTCCTGTATCCCTTTTGATAATAAAAAGTTTCTAAGGAATTGGTCTATAGTTGCAACACTTAACATTACAGAGCTGGGAAAATTATCAAATCATTCCAGGATATCAAAGAAAACATGCAATTGTGCATACAGTGTAATATCAAAGATCATACGAACAAGAAACTATTTGTTATAATCCAGTTCATTTTTCGATCCTAACTAGTTAAATAAAGTTAAAACACCAAACTCTAGGACCGAAACATTTCTTCAACAGAACATGAATCAAGTTTTTCCAGTTTTTTCTCAAATTAAATTCCATTAATCAAATAGATCATATCCTAGTAAGATTATAATCAAACCCGAAACCCTTTTATCATTCTTTAACATTAAGGTTCAAGATTGGCACTAAACTAGTTCATCTTAATGGAAGATCAGCGTTTCACCCAAAATGACAAACAAAATACAGACAAAGGATTTATCTTTGGAAAAGAAAACACGCAGACACACAAAAAATCATGTAAAAAGGTGAGATTTTTAAACAAAAAAGAAGCTTCTCTGCTCAGTGCTCACAGTGCTTCGTCTCTGCTCAGCAGCCACTGCTAAAGCAAAAGCTACCGAATCAAGCACAGAGACAATTATCATTAACAGCTGGGACATTTTTGAGAGTAGAAAAGCTTCAGGCCTCTGTTCTTGTGCACAGATCTAGATCTTTTTCCCACTCTCTCTGGCCCTCTAGCCTTGAGTTTCCCTCTCTACCATCTCCACTCTTTAAAGCAGGTGTCATCTAGAAGAATCCTGAGAAATTAATTTGACTATTTGAGTACTTTCTTACACGGAGAATTATGCAGGAGTACACTTTTACCTAATTACCTCAGTGGCTCAGTTTAGCAGGGTAAAAAAACGCAACATACATTTTGTTTGTCATTTGTGGAATTGTGGGTAGGGCTGGGACTTTGGAACCAAGAACCGGAGAACCGAACCGGACCGAACCGTTATGACCCGGTTCGGTTCGGTTCCAACATTTATTAGTTATTTTTTAATGGTTCGGTTCCTATTTTTTATTAATGGTTCGGTTCTCGGTTCCTGAAAAAAATATGTACTAGGAACCGTTAAGGAACCGTTATATATAATAATTAAAATTATATATATTTCTTATGAGCACATATATTTTAATGTATATTCACTTACTTATTTTTATATTACATTCATTATTTTTGTTTAGTTATTCAACTATTTAAAACTATTATTCACTTCAACCGGTTCTCTTAGGCTTCTTAGGCATCTCATTAGGTCCAAACTCCAGTGGGTCGGAACTTTGAGGGTCCAAGTATTTAAAATTGTTATTCTCTTTAACTGTTTAAGCATATTTGTATCGTAATTTCAAACGTAGAATGTCTTTTTGGCAAAAATTTAGTCATGATTTGTAAGAATTTTTTCGAAGACTAGGAACCGTTAAATGACAAGAACCGAACCGTTAAGAACGGTTCGGTTCCTTATCGGTTCTATAAAATAATTTATAAGAACCGAACCGTTAGTAAAATTTCATATTTTCAAACGGTTCCACATATTTGGCCTAGGAACCGAACCGGTCCCAGGCCTAATTGTGGGTAAATACATGCATTTATCCTTCCTCTAAATTAAAATACGTAGTGCCAAATATGTACACATCTCCTGTACTAATAGAATTTATCCTAATTCTCTCTCTCAAAAAAATAGAATTTATCCTAATCAGTATTGTCATTTTATGAAACCCAAAATTTTCAATCTAAATTTTTATTATTGGTATACTTATTTTATTATCCAATTTCATTTTTATTAAATGAGGTGATAGCATATTTGAACCTTTAACCTAAAGTCTTAAACACACACCTGTCAAAAAGGTATTGGGTGTTTGGTATTTAGCGGTTATAATCAAACAAGCGGTTATTTGTAGTGTTTCCATTTTAGTGGCTCCGTCCAAAAATGCTATGGTCGAAAAAACACTATGCCTAAAAAATTATTTATCAAATAACGTTTTCATTTTTTCGGTTAAACCGCCCATTTGTTAGTGAAACACCATTCTTCAAACAAGGGGTGAAAAGTTATTCCATAAGAAATGTTTTTTTATAATTAATTTTGATGTCGGTAATAAAATGCACGGTTGTTTGGAAAAGCTACAACAAAGCACTCGCGTAGGAAATCAAATTAATATGAAAATATATTGTAAGCGTTAAAATAATTTGATTTGCCTTTCACAGGCTTTAAAAATATTGCCAAAAGTAGCTATTGTGCCTTGTTATTGAATTTGAGTTGCCTCTCATAGGCTTTAAAAATTGTATCCACTATGAGACATAATGACATATTAGCTATTATATTAATGTCATATTAAGGATTTTTTAATTGAGTTGAACTTTTGGGTCGATGTGATCTCATAATTTAACATTAAATGAACCGTACTTTTCTTCAGCGACTATCGATTTAACCTGAATTTGACCCGCAACTTTGGGGGGAAATGACCATTTTTTCTCTCCCGCTTTTGCATAGAGTGAGATAAAATCAAAGAAGTGTTTAAACGACATCACACAAAGAGAATAGAGTTTTTTAAAAGAAGTTATAATATTTTTTTACAATAAAGAAGTTATAATATTTAGAAACCAGATTTAAAGTTCTAAAAAAAGAACTAACCTTAACTTCTAGCTACATAAAAGCCAAAATGTTTGGTGTACACCTTTTTGTGTACACCATTTGCACACCTCGTCTGTCTACACAGATAAAATTGTATGTATACAGACAATTTGTCTTAAAATATGTATAAAGTGTGCAAATGGTGTACACAAAAAGGTGTATACTATGAAACAAATTTTAAGTATTTACTTAAAATTGATCGCAAATAATAATATGTGAGAATATCAGGTACAATATCTAAATATGAATCCTCTGATTCTTCACTTGCAATTTAATATAAATGTAATTAAAGAATTTAATTTAAATTAAATCTTTAATCCTTCAAAAACTCGAGCATTTTTCGGATCTTCGAATCTTCGTTCTTGAGATCTTCAAATCATCGAATCTTCGTTCTTCAAATCTTCAAATCTTCTTGAATGTAGAATTCAGGTTGAAGGGCCTCCGATTTCCAAGTAACTTTATCTTCAACAAAAGGGCCATTTTATGGCTTGATCTTCTGTTTAAGGGCTTCCCGGGATATATGGCTTGATCTTAAATTGAATCTTGATTCAATCTTGATATTGATATCTTCAAGTCTTCAAAGATTCGTTCTTCATAGCTTTGAATCTTCAAAGTCTTGTTTTTCATATCTTCGAATCTTTGAGCTTCGTTCTTCAGATCTTCGAATGTTCTTCAACTTTTGGACTTATTTCATCAAGAAAAGATAAAATCACAAAGGATTATTCATATATTGTTGAGAAAAATCGTGGTTTGATCTCTTCCTCTTCTTCAGAATCGTTCAGAGCCTCTCGGGAGTTCTTCAGAGCTTTGCTGCAGCGTTTCTTCATCTGGAAGTTCTCTCCTCATTCCTCTCATCTGAAACCCCTATTTATAGGTGTGGAGGGGATGAGATATGTCTTATGATTCCAAAATCCGTCCATACCTCATGGGCCTCAATAAAAATGGGTTTCGGGCTCTATTTGCTTGCATTTTAATAGCTAGAGAATTCAACATTTATGCAATGTATCTGGACAACTTTTTTAACAAGACTCATAGTTATTTTCCATGCATATGAAAGGATTTCTTAGCTAGATTCATTGCCCTCTTTATCGATTGGATCATGTCTCTTATATATTGGGCCGCTATTTCATAATAGGCTCAACATAGAAAAATAAATAGGACCGGTCCGTTCTTTTAATAATTAAATTAATTGGATCTTTTTAAACGATCCAGAATAATTTAATCATTAAATTTTATCCAAATGATCTAAATTAATATTTTCCTCTTGGTAAGACCCAATCAATTATCACGAGCAGCTCAGTCAATTGAACATTGGTCTAATAGCATTCAAAGGAGGCCCAAAAAGATGTAAAATAGTCTAGTAGCATTTGAAAGATGCCCAATATGCTGAGACTAGTCCGCTAGCGTTTAAAAGGGATTAATGATAATATGGATTATTATAAAATTATGTCCAAAATATTAATTACACGGAGAATTATGCAGGAGTACACTTTTACAGTTTTACCTCAGTTTAGCAGGGTAAAAAACGCAACATACATTTTGTTTGTCACTTTGTCATTTGTGGAATTGTGGGTAAATACACGCATTTATCCTTCCTCTAAATTAAAATACGTAGTGCCAAATACTACGTAAGTACACATCTCCTGTACTAATAGAATTTATCCTAATTCTCTCTCTCTAAAAAAAAGTAGAATTTATCCTGATCAGTATTGTCATTTTATGAAACCCAAAATTTTCAATCTAAATTTTTATTATTGGTATACTTGTTTTATTATCCAATTTCATTTTTGTTTGAAATAATTACAGATATATGATTAAAATTAAGATTGTTTACAAAAATGTGACTAGTGACCAGAGTAGTAGTGAAATTATAGTAACTTATGTTCAATTTTTAAGCTTAAGTTATTATAAAATTACATTGTAGTAACTATTAGTCATATTTATGTAATTGAGTTTTATTTTGGTAATATTTGTGTAAGAATCCCTTTTTATTTATTTACATTCATTAAAGGTGAAAGCATATTTGAACCTTTTTGTAACCTAAAGTCTTAAACACACACCTATCAAAAAGGTATTGGGTGTTTGTTATTTAGGGATTATCGATAGCTAATCATACTAGCGATTGTCAATAATGGATTCAGTCAGTGGGTTTGACTAGTAAAATAAGTTGACGGTTGTCTGAAGATGTTTGGTAATTTAGTTTTTTGGTCATAACATTAGTAGAAAATGTCATATTTCAAAATGATAACAAAAAAGTGGTTGTTTGTAGCGTTTCCATTTTAGTGGCTCCGTCCAAAAGCGCTATGGTTGAAAAAACGCTATGACTAAAAAATTATTTATCAAACAACGTTTTCATTTTTTCAAAATGTTAAAAAGTTGTTAAACCGCCCATTTTTACTGAAATGCTATTTTTCTAACACCACATTTTATGAAAGGGATGAAAAGTTATTCCATAAGAAATGTTTTTTATAACTTTGATGTTGGTAATAAAATGAACGGTTGTTGGTAACAAAGCACTCGCGTAGGAAATCAAATTAATATGAAAATATATTGCAAGTGTTAAAATAATTTAGAGCCGTCAAAATGGGCCGAAACCCGCGGGTTGGCCCGTTTCAACCCACTTATAAGTGGGCTAGGGTTATCATTTTTCAGGTCCGATTATTTCGCGGGCTTGGTGGGTCAACCCTAACGGGTTGCGGGTTTAGCGGGTCAACCCGTACGAGTTGCGGGCCAACCCGTACGGGTTGCGGGCCAACCCGCAGACTATATATCGATTTGTCTATATAGACTACATAGCACAGAGGGGAGTAAAATCCCGACAGACCGCGGTAAAGTGCCGAACAAATGAAAGGCCACCAATTCAAGGAGAGAAGAGACATCAAATAATTAATAGTCTCTTTAGGACTCTGGGAGAAGTTGTATAGAACCGAACAAACAATTGGTAGACCCAATTATATTAGTTCTCTTCTACAATCTTCCATTTTTAAAACATTTGTAATGATGTTTGCTTTTTTAACTTCTGAACAGTTTTTTGGACTTACAAAGTGATGAAGTCAATGATAGTCATATATCTTACTACCTCCATCCCGAAAAG